ATATATATATATATATATATATATATATATATATATATATATATATATACACAAAACTGCTAATTAATGACAATGGTCTCCTACATTACAAACTAGAACCATCCACACAAACATTTTAAAAAAGTTTACCCACCCCTCCTCGCTGTCCGTCCACATGAATGCCTCTGATGTGCTCAGCCAGATCAGGACTGGAGTTGAAGTACTGTAGACAGCGATCCCAGCAGCAGGGGTAAGCTACAGTCTTGGTCCCAGAGGAACTGGCACTGCTTTGTCCGTTCATCATAGCCGGAGTGGAACGTCCACTGGACACTGTGCTCTCCATCTCCATCAAAGTGCTGCTGATACTGAGAGCGAGGAAAGGTAGGGTTTGCAGAAAGAGACACAGAGCAGTGTAGAGAAACAGTTCCACAGTGTTAATAAGAGAGGAACTTATGGTCATAATGAATACAGTAGTTGTAGGCTTTGCACAACTGTGGGGAACAGCTGCATATATCACATCACATGGTCACCACACATGAAAAGTCTTCAGAATCTAACTGTCTGAGCTTTATCAGATTATGTCAGATCAAGTACCATGTTACTTTGGAGTTATTTTTCTGTGAAACTGTTTCATTTATTATAAACAAAGCAAGTATTACTTTAGAGAAACATCTTTTTGAGCAAGTCGGATTATCAGATTGGGATATTAGTACTAAAACAGACTTTCTTACTCTAAAAACAAAATGAGAGTGTTATTGATTTGTGTGACTGGATCTGCTCATTCAGTCAGTCATATTAGATATAATGGGTTTGCTATGTAATGGCAAGAGAACATCAACATCATCAAAACAAGACAAATAAAAAAAATGGTATAACTGTAATGACCATTTTGTGACATTTGTTTTTGCAGAAAACAATTTATCTACCCATCCCAATCCTAAGAAATTTAGAAGAAGACCATGGGACTGGATGATGTGTTTGGAAGATCAACTCTCATCGGAGTGTCTGTAGTGGAGAAGACTCTTGAATTAGAGGTGATCTTCAGTTTGAAGTTCTCAAAATGAAATGACCTGGTTGACAGACAGACCTTCACAGACATAATCCACCCAAACCACCAGAATCAGAGCAAGTAACAAAACAACAAATCAATCAATATCAATCAATATCAATAGACAGGAATATGGTAAGGTATATGTCCGTCATATATTTAGTTAAAATGGTAAAGTTAAATGTTGACCTGACAGGTGTGCATTGTTTCCACCAACATCAGTTGTCAAAAAAGTGGCATGTTGGGATCATGAACTATAACTTACACCCACACAGTTCTAAGCAGCGGTAACATGTCATTATCCAGACCGACCTGTCTTCAGAGTCCATGCGGCTCAAGGGTTCACCATCAGAGGATGAGATCTCCAAGCTCGGTCGCCTCTTGTCGCCCAGCTCTGCTCCTCCAGTGCTGGGTTTCTCGCTGTCTTCACTCGCTGTTTTGCTCTTGTCACAGTCCATGACTGAACACCGACTGTCCTCGCCCGGTTCCTCCTTAGCCTCTTTGATTGCAGTATATTCACCGGGCTCATTGATAGTATCTCCGCTGTTTTGGTCCAGCTCCGGCTTTTGACCCTCCTCTTCTTCGGCAGCGGCGACAGCAGCATTAGCAACTGTCTCCTCCTCGGTATCTGCTACAGAACGCTCGGTCGTCTCTGCTTCGCTAGCGGCCTTGTCTGTTGCTTCGAGGGGTTTCTCATTGCCGGCCTCCGCGCCCACCTCTTCCATTTTCAGGTCTACGTGACTGTCCTGCTCAGCAGTTTCTGCTTCGGCATGGCTCTTTTCCTCACCCTCGGGGTCTAGGTGGTTGCTCTCAGAGGCCGGCGCCTCGTCCTCGGTGCTAAGAGCTGCTGGTGTTTCTTCAGCAGCAGCAGCGGCCATGACAGTAGCCTTAGCACCGTTGAATAGTTTCCTTACAAAATTTCACCGTGGATCAGTGAAAGGCAAAAAGAGGGCGGGGCCGAACTCACTGTCTGCTCTCTGATTGGACCGCCGTGGCACGAGGAGCGAAAAGTCTGCCATTGGCATTTAAACTTTCCATGTGTTTCAGATGCTTTTTTTAAAAAAAAAAAAAAACAGGAATAATCTTTACTACTTTTAGGGCTTAGGTCCAGGAGTAACGATGTCTCCCATAAGCAGATATAACAAGTTTTATTTTTTTAATTCGAAGTTGGTACATTTAAAATACACAGTAAGACTGTATTTAGGTCACGCACCTAATTAATCAAGGTACATTATGCAGATATGTACACGAGGTCTGCATACTGTACACTACAGGCCAAACGTCGAAAGTTATACGTTAAACGTTGAGAACATTATATTTGAATAAAAATACACGATAGTCTTAGGCATACTTTGCAACAAAATAAACCTGACTATGATATAAACTATTATTATTATTGTTATATTAACTGTAATTATCACGTAGGTTTTGGACTGCTGTTCCTTTAACTTTGCTTTCACAAGTAACATTTTAGACCTTCAGTTACACAAGTTTTTAAAGCATATGCAAGGAATTGCATTAAAATATTTTGTAGTTCATCAATGAGTTATTTTCTGTCTGACCAATCAGATAATAATAATAATAATAATAAATTTTATTTATTGACTCACTATATAATAATCATATGTTCTTAGTTGCAGGGTGTACATATGTTGTTTCTATTTTTTTATTTCTAAATATTTTTATTTTTAAATACATACAGTATAATCTATTATCTATTATTATATAATAATTTCACAATTACAACAACTTTTTATGCTAGTTAAAATAGTATTACCATAAAAAGATTTTAGGAAATTCTGTTCAAATCTTTGTTTAGTATAATATAAATAAAAATGTCTTATTTTCGTAGTAGTAGTTAGTGACCAGCTCATAGTTTTCTCTGACCAACGAGGCAATATTAGGAACAGGTAATTACAAAGCTGATTGATCTTTTTTTTTTGTAACACCAAAATTTTAAACCCACAAACAAAAAGATAATTTGTTAATATTATTAGAATATTAAATTAACATTAATAAAGCACAAAGTAAAGCGTTTGTTCACAAACATCGAATCATCCTGGTTGTATACTCCTCAGCATTGGGAATAATTACTGCAACAGGCCACAAGAGGACACTGTAGTTCCGCATTTGAACTTTTTCTTAAATTAACTCATGACGTCACTTGATGAAACAGCAAATTATGGTCGTCTGTTAGTTTAATCAAACAATACTAACCTTCTCGTTATGGTTTACGTTCTGTCCACATAATTGTTTTCACAGTATCTTTTATTTACAGTACTTTCTGTGTTTTTCTGCCTCCAGCCTTCAGTTGAACGATGTTAACTTCTTTTGGAACCTTGCAACCTTCTTGTGGAGACCATTTGAACAATAGACAAAAGAAAATACAGTCATCCATACATTAAAAATGGCAACATTTATTCAACATGTTATAAAACAGATGGTTTATGAACATTTCCAAATCAAATATAGAACATAACCATGTTGGATACATCCTTCCATCCTGCTCTACCATGTACATTATATACACAGTAAATCTTTGATAATTACACTTTTTACAAACAAAAAAAATCTTTTATTCACAAACAGTTTTATTGCTTTTTACATGTGCTAATATATATATTTGTCAAACTCATATATGATAAAATAGGGGGGAAAGTTATGTTTTTCAATTTAAATATCTCTCTGCCTTTAAGCTATAAAGTCTGCTTGCTAAAACGTTACTTGTAAAATACTCTTTTCATCCTTATGAACACCAACATATATAAAAAAAATCTGGGTTCTAAAGCCCTTAAAATACTGTAATAATCACAGTTTCTGTCTTCAAAACCGAACAGACCAAATCTGTGGTTTGCCCTTCTCTCACTGACTTGACCGTCACTGAAATTATATAAGGGGGTTTCCTGCAGCTGCCATCTGACATAGTGTGGCCAGAATCAAAAAACCTTTTGTCCAAGTGTTTTTTCAGCTTCAGGAGTGTAAATGGGAGAAAGGTCATCACTTCAACATTTTTTTTTTTTGTTTTTTAAACAGATACTTTAAGGGCATTCCATTATAACAGGAGTTTAACACATTAAATACGATGTAACCAATATTGGCTAAAGATTAGAAAGGTTTGCAAGTGTCAGACTGCAAAAAAACGACAATCAATGAAGAAGAGAGGAGGCTCCTCCTTTCATTTATATGAACCTACAGTATATATCTTTGATGCACCAATGTTTTGTATGGACATACTGTATGTTCGGTGTAATAAACAAATAAACGTGGCCTTTGTGTGACTATTAAGAGACTATCATGAACCTAAATGATTTGAAAGCACATCTTTTTAAAAGACAATAGAAATGCAGCAGTTGAAAGTAAATGTCATCACAAACCCAGTTAGAAAACACAGCTTGGTTTATCAGCCTAATAGATGTAAACAGACACCGGCCGAGAATCAAACCTTACAAAACCATTTAAATAATAAAAAGCAGAGGAGAAAAAAGGAATTCTGATTAAAAGATGAGAACCACAACGTAAAGACGTCTCCAAGCAACTGCAGTGAGATATCACAGAACCAAGTGTGTGTGGTGATGGTGGCACAGGGGTTTAGGACATCACAGTGAAGTTTAGGTGATGTGTCTATGAGTAGCCCATTAAAAAGAGCGGGCCAGTCTTACTCTCCACGGGTTGTGCTGACGTCTTTGGGTCGGAGTGAACCGCATCATGTCGATACTTCCCCCATCGTTTCCTTCATGTGTACGATTTCACTGAGGCCAGAGCCTGTGCTGCAGAGGGGGGAGACGAAACAGTCAATAATACTGTAGACAGTCAAATAACAAATACAGTGTTTTTTATATATATATATATATATATGTATATATATGTATAATATATATATATATGTATAATATATATATATATATATATATGTATATATATTCTTTTAATATATATATATATATATATATATATATACACACACACACACATATATATATATATATATTTTAAGAGTCATGCAAACAACACATTGTACTCTCAAATCACCCCCTGGGAGAGCAAGTAGCTTGAATCTAAGAGATTTGTACACATGCAAAGCTTTTATGTATTTCAGTAATGTCAGTCATTAGTCAGACTGATACAAAGTTTTCCTGTCATGTTAGCACGTCATGAATGTCTTCTTTGTGTTTCAACAACACCAAACACTGTGAGTTACAGCGCTGGGTGCGGCTGTCGCACTAACCCAAATAAAAACACATCAACTATTCCACAGTTGTAAATACATATGGAGAATGTCATCGTTTCATGAATACATTACCAGAGACAATAACCAGAATACTCAGAACATTTAAGTACTGTGAGTGTAGACATGAGGCCCTTACTGGTGCTACTACACACACATGAAGTGAGAGCCGTCAGTGAGCTGAGGGGGCGAGTTAGGCAACGGTGGAATAGGTAGTGATGAAGGTGACAGGCTGTTCACTGCAATGAAACACATAAACATGATAAACACACACACACAAACACACATGACACGTCAAACAAAAACAAAAAAACAAGCAGCATCTGCTGATAATGACTTACAGGCAACATTCAACAACAATAATCAGTGTAATGACTCAAACTTAGCAGAATTATGAGGGAACTAATGAGACCACCATGACAAATGACCAAACACATGCACGGTGCAAGCTGCTGCACTTTGATAAAACAAGACATAAAACTAAGAGCAGTCGTCCACTATCTCTGATTTTACTGCATGAACCCCCCCC